CCGTTTAGAATCTCGCCAAGGTTGAAAAGACTACACGTGCAATTTAGCTTTGTTGTGTCTGCAAAGGCAAAAATGTGGAATATGCCCCAGCAATTCAGGCATATATCTGAAGAAAATAAATATATAAATTAATAAAGCCTTTTAATCGTATCGTCTGTGTGCCCATATATCTGCAGAGATGAGCCTCTTGGAACCCTTAAAAGAAAACCTGCTCTGACTACATGCAGTTGCACATTGAATCTGCTTCAAATAACTGACCTTCAAATTCTACAGAAAAATAGATTGTAGCATAAGGCCCATTTGGTAAAGGTAAAAACTAACAATGCCCGTTATAGACTGGCAATCTGCTGGGGTTGTACTCTGCCTCTCCCCCTCAGCCAGCCAGTAAAAGACATATGCCCCCCTATAAGATTACAAACTAAAACACCTGTGCAGCCTGGTTTAGGTAAGGGATCTAAAACTCCAGTCCTCCAGTCCTCCAGTGTTCTGCAACTTTAGGATGCTTGTCTGCTTCAACACACCTGAATAATAATATTGGCTCAATAGCAGTAGATTTTAAGTCCATGCACAGAAATCTGTACTAGGTGTTGTAATAATTATGCCATGCCAGTAGGTGGCAGACCAGTGCGGCAAACAGGTAAAGACGGTAAAATAAGGAAGGAAGAAGTAGAATGTAAAGAATAAATGCAGAGAAAAGACAAAAAGGTGTTTTTTGGGGACAAATGACAGAGAAGCAACAACTATTAGGTATAAAGTCCACGATAAAGTCAATAGCGTCTAAAACATGAGATTCTAAGACAGAACGGCAGCATTGGCCTCCGATAACGTTGTTGATTGTGCTGGCACATGTGTGTTAATACCATGCCATATGCATATATGGTTAATGGTGGTAAAAGTTTGCGGCTGCTTCTTGAAAATGAGATCGCTGGTGAACAAGATGCTTGTCGTACACACTGAAACCCAGCTTTGTCTGGACCAGGCTATAGCCATTTGATTTAGATGTGTGGGTTAAACTTTAGATGTAAAAGCTCTAGGACTCCGGTCTGCAGGGACTGGAGTTTGAGACGACTGGTTTAGGTAAAAAGCAGCCAACCATTTTATTGGCCTATGCGGGTCAAGCTCCAGTTTTTCCATCTGTTTAAACCTGTTCCACAGATGTGCTTGTAGCATAGGAAGGGCGTTGTTTTACCGCTGTGATCTCCATAAATAACAGCTTTTTCTTCCATTGTGCTACTGCCACTCAAATTTCATCACATCTGATTAGACTCCGTTGCTTCACGCTGGCATTTAGCTTGCACATCATCCTCCTCATCTTGGACAGGCTGCACACTTTCCAGCTAAATCCCTTTGACATTTTTATATATACATCTTGGACAGGCTGCACACTTTCCAGCTAAATCCCTTTGACATTTTTATATATACGGAGTAGAGGTTTGGTTGGCTCATGTAATTTACACACTTTGGCATAAAGAGAATTTTAAAACTCCTTATCGAACTAAAAAATAAAGGGGTTATTTGCAACAATGGGAGGAGAAGAAGAGTTAACACGAGGTAGTGTCTACTTTGATAAAAGCAATTCTAAAACATCTTAACTTATTGGCCGACTGTAGCAGTTTAGTTTGCATTACAGAAGAAATATTGTTGCAAATTTTTGATACCCCAGGATACCTTAATCATATTATCACTTCACAGTTTGCAAAGGTTTTTAAGGGAAAAAAATGAATGTTTTTTTCTAATAGTTGTCTACTTGCTGTAATTATGTCAGCTGAGTTTTTCTATTTTTAAAGAGGCGTAGCCATTTTTCCCCATGCACAAGGGAAAGAAAGCTATGTACTGGAAAAGATGTTACAAAGATCAGCTGGGATGCTAGTTTTCAAATGTTCTGAGTTTGAAAACAAAGCAATAAGCCTAAACCAGGAACATGTTTTACAAAAGATTTTTTTACTTAAAACTACACTAGAATAATGTCACAAGTCAAATTATCAAAGAAAGATATAAAAACATAGATTAGACATGCTAGCATTAGCGTAGCACTTCTGTAAAGTATTGTATATTAAATTATCTGGAGCAAGATGATAGTTCATTGAAGATTGTAGTTGTGTCTCTCCTGATGGATATATCTCTAGAGACAAAAAAAAAGCTAAGAATATCTTCTAAGTTTTAAGATATTTTTTACTCAAGAAAAGCACGTACATCATGACATAATGGCAATCCCAGTTTAACCCATGTAAAATTAAAGAGATGTAATGCACTATCCAACTATCTACACTACACTGATTGAGGGATTGGTCAAAGACTTGATATTGGAAGAAGTCTATTTCTTTAATTACTCAGATCAGTATGAAACCAGGTTTATACTTGATGTATTTGGGGTATCAAAACTAGCACAAGGTCATGTACCTTCGAATCATTGTGACTGAGTGGAACGCGTGTCCAATGCTCATTCAGAACAAACGACATGCAGTCATTTAACACACAAATCAATCACTTATTCAATAAATGAAGGGGGGAACTAACAGACAAGTAAAACAACAGAAAGAAGCTAAAAAGACTTTTTCTGATGATTGTTTTTTACTCATAAATCTAAAGCTTTGTAAGAAAGAGGGTTATATAGTGTACTGCCTTCTGTCTGGAGAATAACCTACAATCAGTATAAAGGCCAACAGTGCTTGTTCAGGCCCACGCCATCAGCAAAGTTCTGCAAGAGACACCAAAGTACAACTATAACTCTGCCTCAAGGGGTAAAAACATCCCGAGTTCAGCATCACTACTTCATGGTCATTGCTGAAATATAATTTAAACACCAGTAAAAAGCTGGCATTCCAGGGAATAACTCAAGTCTGCTTGGTTTTCTGGGATCAGTTTATGTCTATTATTATAAAATAAGTTTATTCGGATTTAAATAAGTTATGGGCTTTTTTTCCTTTTTGTCTTTTAAACATGACAAATAACAGTGCAGTTTAACTGTTACTTAGATAACTTATCTGGCTTGTTTCCATTTTTTTAATTAATTTTTTTTTCTTCCTGCCTTTCTCTCTTCTCTTTCCCTCTGTTATTGATTTTTTTTTTTGTATTATTACTATTGTTGTATTGGTAATAGTATTTTTTTTTTCTTAGAGCGTAATTTTTTAAATATATGTATGCTTTATGCTCGGGGTGTGTGATTTTTGTATGTTGCACTTTGAAAACTTAACAAATATAAAAAAAAACAAAAAGAAAAAAAACATAATGAACCATGTGTGTTACAAAGACCTGTTACTTTGACTGTAAACTATTTGTCAGACGACAATGACGCACTTCATTTTACTGCAATTATATTTGTAACTCAGCCTTATACATCTGGAATGTTTTTGTTATTTATCTTTACAAAATAGCTCAAGCTGAATCAAGGTAAGAAGCAAGATGAAATTTATAAAAAAATAAACTTTCAGGTCTCTATAGATTCTCACCTAAATTTTGGTCCAGTTTTTGAATTGGCCATTCTAACAAATCAGTTTACTTTGATCTAAAACATATTGTAACTTATAAATTCCTCCTATGTTTAGGATCCCTAAAGTTGAAACTCCTTCCCAGTTCTACAGTTTCTAGCAGCTTTTCATTCAGGATTACACATCCATCTAGTCATTAACTTTGACCAGCTTCACTGACCTTACTGAAGGAAAAAAATCCCTGCTTCCACCACAGCGTTCCTCTGTGAGGGTGATCACCTTCCTTTATACTAGGGTTAGGAATGCTAAAAGGATCATCTTGGTCCTGTCTGAACAGAGAATCTTTCATATGTGTGCTGTGTTCCTTATATGATTTCTGGCTAACTGCAGGACTCTCCACTCCAACAAAGGGGCCAGATCTGTGGAGTGCTAAGCTAATAGCTTTAGACAACATATTCTCCCACCTGAGCTGTTGAGTTCTCCTTTGGTCTGCTTCCCTGATTAGTGCTCGACTAGCCTAGTCCGTCAGTACATGTGGATGGCTGGATAATGGTTGACATGAAGGCGTTGTCCCAGTCTATATCGACTTTGAGACTGTATAATAAACACTGCTTTGCTAGACAATGCATTGAATATTGTTTTATAAATAAACCAGTCTACTGGGTTCCTTGTTCCCCGTGATGTTGCTTGTTCACTAATATTTTCAAACAAATGTTACGACTGGCGTCATCAACCTATGTAAATGTGAATTTGCAGGTGCCCGTCACTGATTGGTTCCTAGACCACAACGGAGATGTCCAATTGGTGGCCTCCCGGATGTGCTGGATATAAAAGCTGCTGACGTGGACTTCCTGCATTCATCCTCAGCTCATCTCAACTGGCTACACTGTTTAAACATCATGTAAAGTTCTATAGCTTGTAGGAGTCAGCAGCCGTTTCTGTTTCCTTAGTTTTCGTTTTTTGTCATTTGGTTTATTTACTTTCAATTAGGCAAGTTGTTTAATATTCAGATACTTTCCTTTCGTGTGTCGTTTTCTGCATCATCTCTCCCTGAAGTCATATGCTCCACTTGTTGTAACATTTTTTCCAAAAAATACCTCTTTTTAAAATAAATAACATTATAAAATGTTCAACTTTGTGTGTGTTGGCTACTTGGGATCTGAAGAGGATGTTACGATCTGGCCACCCCTAGACGTGTCGTAAAATAAACTTCTAAGACCTTAAGAACAGCTGGAGACTGACATTTAAGTATACACATTAGGAGATTTCTCTGGGCAATTGCTTACATCGGATTTGATTTAGGGGTAATAGAGGAAAGGGGGGTAAGCACAATTCACACCAAAAGTATCTGATTTGTGTTTGCTAAATCGCACTAAAATAACTGAAATTTGTGGTAGGGACATGGCAATGAGAAATGATTTGAGGGTGACGAATATGCTACCAGCGGTTTAAAACTAAGCCAGACCTACTTCCTCTTTGGGGACTCATTTCTGTGTACATCCTGCGTTCCCTAGCAACAAAGGGTCCTAATGAAGCTATAAAAGTGTGTGAGAGAATGTGCAGTTTCCGTACCTGCAATCCAGTTGGGCTTAGAAGACTCCACCACTCTTTATCCAGGCCAAAAACAAAGGCATTGGCCAAACCGTGGAGAGGTGCTGACAGGACGTGTAAAAGTGTGAGAGGGAACGAAGGATCTTGAGGGTAGAAGGCGTTATGTAGTCTGATGGAGGAGGACAGAAAAAGACAAAGAGAAGTGCTGAGTTGTAATGTGGAAAAGTTTCTAGTAAAGAAGCAACCTGCATGAAGAGCTAAAGAGGTGAGGACGATGTAATTAAAGGAGAAGAAAGACAGCAACAGGACAAAAAAAAAAAGAGCAAGAGGCTGATAGAGCAACAGAGAGCAAGGCAGAGGACAAGTGAGTGACAGAGTGAGGGACAGGGTGAGAACGAGAGGTAATGAGAGCAAGTGGCGGAGGCAGAAAAAGAAGGAGCAAGAGAGGGAAAAGGGGAGGGTGAAAGAGCGAGCGAGCTTTATATCAGCGTTTAAGAGCCCATTAGGCAGCGTGAGACGGCTGGGCTGACACATTCTTGGCTGCTGCTCCGACAGCACGCAGCACTTTACAAGGACAGGGAGATGTGTAGCGCTCGACTCGCTTCCTCTCTTTCTCACCACTTTCTCTCAGCTCTGCTATTCACCTCTCCAGACCACAATTTCAGCTTTACATCCCCTCTGGTTGCCACATGACAATTTCTTGACCTATCCGCTGTAAGCTCTCCATCTATCCTATGCGTTCCAAGTTTAACCGTTGAGATGTTCGTTTTATTTTTTAAAGAAAAGGATTTTGATTCCTCTTTTTGTGTTTCTATCCCTGTGAACCCATGAAACAAGCAGGAACAAGAAGCGTTTTTGTGAGATAATGGCTGTCTCTGCGAACAAGGCTACTCAGCCATTAACCCTGGATTAACCCTGTATTAGCACTGCTCGCTAGGTTAGCCTCCAACTAATGTCTTTTATTGATCTATTAGCCATAGAATCACACTGTTTGAGGCTCATGGCATTTTGTACTTTTGCCGTGTTCAGGGGTTGGGTGTGCAGCCGGATCTAAGTGGTCACAGCTGTTGACCTCTAGGGTCAGAAAAGGTAGACCGCCTGCCTCCCCACTAGGGAAGGGAGACAACAAACCAAACCCTTGACAAAAAAAATCAACACTGTTGCATTGTGGTTACAAGGTGTTACGTGAGACTTTACAGTCACTCATCTCCACTGGCTGACAGCCAGAAAATAAGAGCTGCTTCCTTTTTCTGTGATAATGATTTTTTTTTGTGCGTGTGTGTGTGTGTGTGTGAATGAATTCTTTGGCAATAACACCATTGTTGTGTTTCAACTATCTTTTCCCATGAATCACATCATAACAGTGTTGCCAGCATTGTGACATCTCTGGAACCAGCCCCACATGAGCGTGAGCAAACATCAAGTCCTCACAGCTGTAGTTACATCAGCAGAGCTACAAAACAAAAACCTGTGCACACCAAATTTTTAGCCTAAGATTTTTCATACGTCAATATATTTCATTGTGGCATCATTTCAAAATCGGCCTGGCTAATTCATAGCCCCCTTTCACAGTATTGCTTTGGCATTTCATTGTTTTCAACCTACATTTTATGCCAGTGTAACAAACCCCTTGCCTTTAAGTTTACTCTTCTTTCTTATTTAGTATATTTAGGGAAAAAATCCATCAAACAGATCAAGTCTATTTCATTTGAATTTATGATACCATAATTTGAGGCCTTAAAGGGCATTATAAGACAAATGTATCCACAATATATTAGGGAAGCATACAACCCCTCCAACATTAGCATTCTTTTTTTCTTAAAAGCAAGAAAATAAATCCACCATGAGCAATTTGGCCATGGCCAAAAGCAGCCAAATTTGGTCCTCTTTAAACAGAACAGATATGCTTCCCCCTCAAGTAAACACTGGTCCAAACCAAAACAACTGGACTGAAACCAACTTTTTGAGGCCCTCTCAGTCTGCAGCCAAACAGACTCCGATCCGGCTGGCTCCTAGTCTGGATATAAACTGGTCTTGGTTTGATCCAACTGAAGAAAACAAAAGTCTCTTTGGACTTAACTAGTCGCCAGAGCAGTGTACAAACTAAAAAAAAACAAAACAAAAAAAACTTGATACGATGTCTGTTGCTTAGCAACGCATCTGCAGGTCTCCTCCGGCTTGTTGGACATAATACCAGATTCTGTTCCAAAATTATTAATAAATTGTCGTGAAGTCAATGTTGAATGAGCTGCTCTTTGACACAATCATTTGTCAGCTGTTGTAACAGAGCAAAGATGCAAAACAGAGGTCCTGAAAGCAGGATTCCTATTGAGGTTTTCCTAAATTTTGCAGCTTGTGTTCTATCCAGCCCCAAGTCATTTTGTCCAATGGAAACAGCGGTTTTTTGTAGAACTTATAATCCACTTGTGAAAAATGCAATCTGAAAGCAAACTAAAACTAACAAAACAAAATGATAAAGTATGCTTTTAGCAGACCAAATGATTTTCCTAGTGTGAATACATCAAAAAATAAATCTAAAAGTTTCTTAAGGCAAAACATATTTTGAAGTTTTAAGAAACCTTAAAGACTGTAGACTGCCTATTTGAATTATGTAGCATTAAATGTACAACTAAAATGCTGCAATAACGTTAAAGCTCGGCTTACACTGTGTGATTTTTTGTCCCTTTTCAGGGCGACTTTCCAGTCGTGCGAGAATTTTTTGATTGGGCCGACTTTCGGCCTGATTGTGCATCGTGTATTGTACCGAGGGTAACGAGGGGCGATCAGCCTCTCACGACCACCTCCAAATCAGGAATCGTGAGGTCGTTTTCGTAGTAGCCACGTTTGTTCAGCCATGCCTTTGTCCAAATAAGTCATCGCATTTTCTTTTTAGGGCTTTCAGCGCAAAATTGCACAAATTGCCAAGGCAGCATGTTTCTCTAGTAAATGCTAAGAGTTGCTCAAACTGTCAAAAGTCAGACCATCTTTAGGTTAATTTCCATAATTCTAAAGTGTTCAATTTCTAGATTTTTTGGGAATGTTTTTACAAAATAGTGAATATTTGACTACAAAATATTAACCTTTAACTCCCTGTGTTACAATTTGGACTCTTCTATTGATTCTAAAAAAATCATTACAAAAAATGATGCTGAAAATAAAAAATAAATTTAGGACTTTAGGACCATTTTACTGCTTTTTTTTGGCATCTAGACTAAAATAAGTCTGCTTTATTTCCAAATCTATAACTGTTTGACTTGGAGGGATTTATTAATGAGGACTGAAGTGTCGCGTTGAAAGTAATGAAATTGCGCCAATTTTTAAATTAGTGTGAACTCAATTGTTAACTGAAACACTGTGCTAATGAGTAAAAGGTTACGAATCTATTTGTGACACGGTAAAAATTAAATAATTTTTTTCCCCAGCTTTTTTTTTTTTTTATTATTATCATTACACTGTCACAAGTACAGACCAACGGAATTAACTCTCTGCTAGGGTTGTCACGATACTAAACTTTTCAACTCGATACCGATACTAAGGAAAATATTCGATACTCGATACCATTTTCGATACCACAAGGATAAAAACAAAGACTCCAAAAGTCTACAGAAATATTTTTAATAATAAATAAAATACAATAAATAAACACAATAAAGTTGTATGCTGTGCATAATATTAAGCAAACTTGATAAAAAACTGCACCTCTTACAAAAAAAAAGTCTGAAACTGAAAAGTGCACAGAATTATTCAATCACACAGTGTTCTGAAAGTGCATTGTCCTCTATTCTGCACTTTAGATGAATGACTGCTTAGGTGCCACTGGTGACGGCACTGTATCGATACTTTTAAAAACGAGTATTGTATCCGGATACAACATTTCAGTATCGATACTTTTTTGAGTTTCGATACTTTTGACAACCCTACTCTCTGCATTTAACCCATCCCATAAGGGAGCAGTGGGCTGTCATTGTGCAGCTCCCGGGGAGCAGTGTCGGGGTTAAGGGTCTCTGCTCAGGGAGTCAGTAGCAGTCTGTGGGAGCTGGACTCGAACTCAGAGCCTCAGGAGTCCAAGTTTTATGCCCTAACCACTAGGCTGCCACTCCCTCATTAAGGTTGAATCATAAATCAGGTTGAAGTCTTTTAAAATTAGTTCTTAATATTTTTTGTTTAAGAACAAAATGAGACAGGAAAAAAAATCAGTTTTAAGAGTCATAATTATCTAGACTTGGACAGTTAGGAAAGCAAACTCCCCTTGTATTTTAATTGAGTATATGAATACTTGAACCACCAAAAGCATTGAAGTATCATCCCCAGACAATTGATCCAAAATGGGAAATAAATAAATTAATAAAACATGCTTCAAAGGAAAGTACTTCAACCTGATGCAGTTAAGCACAATCCATGACCACAAACACTGCAAAAAGGGATAGAATTCAATCACAGGATAGAGCTTGATGGCCTAAATTCCTAAAACATAAACCCATGTAAATGGGCGGTTATCGAATAATGCACAGCAAGATAAGAAATAATAGGACGCCACTTTAAGAAATACCCTTTACATTTGATTTTATCGAGAACAGGATGAACTAGAGGTCATATCGCCAGGGCTGCATTCTTTAAATTAAGGCTTAAAATCAGCAATGACCAACACTTTATATGGCTTTGCGTCAGCTTTTTTTTCTTAGCAGAGTTTCAAACGGTTTGTTGTTTTACTGTCATATGTAGAGCTATAATAATTTACAAGAGTAATAGAGGAAATAAGCACATTATTAAACGTGAGAATGGCATCTATTCCCCTTAGCTGTGATGGAGTATGCAATGTCTGCATAGTGCATGTGTGGAACTGTCAATGTATATGTGTGTATTTTTTTGTTTTTAGTTGGTCGTGGGAGGTGAAAATTCAAAAGCGTATTGAAACATCTTGATTTTAATGATATCTTAGTTGAATTTGTGGTGTGTCAACCTTATGGACTCAAAGCCACAAACTGTAGTCTTATTAGTATTGTGGTCCAAATATGAAATTTGCAATATCCTACATTAATTCTTTAAATTGATCAACTTTCACTTTTAACATTGATACAGGCAAGACAAAGTCAGGACCCAGATGGTCAGATTGAGATATTAAAATACTTTCATGTATAGGTTGGAGAAGCTGTCACCTGTCAGGACATT